GCCCTCCGGACCGGCCAGTGCGTGGGCTGTGTGGGCACTCGGTGCCGCAGCGGCGGTGTCGCCGCGTCCGCCAATTAGGAGACTCGGCGTTTGGCTCCGAGGGGGCGCAGGACCAACGGCGCTGCCCGTTCCGGTGAGCGGAGGGTGCGCCGTGCGAGTCCCTCCCGCCGCTCTCCCCGCGACGTTTTCCGAGGAGGGTAGAGAACTGCTGTGACTTTTGAGGTCCGACTCCTCCTTCCGGCCAGCCTCCCCTGACGCGCCGGCCCGGAGGGAGGCCAGTGTGACCGACAGGCCCCGGAGGCTCACGGCGTGGTGTTGGGACTTGGAATGTGTCCCGGAGCCCGCGGCTTGTGCGCTCCGGTTAGTTTGGCGCGAGGTGGGGTGTCCTCCAGCGCGAGGGGCGGAAAGGACGTCGCCCTCTGCCTGGTCGCCCACTCCCCAGTACTGCCCCCACTTTGAGAGTAACTGAGACTTGAGCGTGACTGCGGAGCCGCGAGGATGCGGGCGCCGGGCGCGGGCTTTCCTTCCCTCTGCCCGGCGTGACGGAGCGAGTTGGTGAGCGGAACAAAGGCACCCGCCCCCAGCAGCCGGTCCTTGGCTGAAGACCGCGAGTCGCACACCGCGACGGCCGACGGCGGACTGGGGTGGTGGCCGTGCGGCCCGAGGTGCGGCGCGCTCCTCCGTGGGCGACAAACCCTGACCAGGGCACCTGCGCGCCATTCCCACTCGGGCGCCGGGACAGCCCCTCCTGCCTAGCAGCTGGCCTCGGAGGTCTGCTGCTCTCGCAGCCCCGCGCCCGGCGGCCCAAGGGCCAGCGGCGGACCACTTGCTGGTGCGGAGGAGAGGCCCCCCGACCGCCGGCTCTTCTCCGAGAAGCCAAGGCGCCTGGAAGGGGCCGCGCGCCGTGGTGGAGTAAGCAGGCATCCCTGGGAGCACTTCTCCACACCCAGAGCTTTCATGTGAGCGATTTCGCTCTCCCTCTGAGCGCCCTGTTTTCTCAACTGTCTCTGCCTCCAGAGCATCTGCTCTCTGGGGCTGGGAGTGGCTGGGATTCTTGCCAGCGGTCCAGAGTGTGAGACTCACACTGCCCCGCGCCTCGCCAGAGCTGGAAAGGGCGCGGGTCCGGAGCGAGGGCCGATCTGGTGTGTTTGATGGCTTCACTGAGAAGAGTCAAAGTGCTGCTGGTGTTGAACTTGATAGCGGTGGCCGGCTTCGTGCTCTTTCTGGCCAAGTGCCGGCCCATCGCATTGCGCAGCGGAGACGGCTTCCACGAGATTCGGCCGCGTGCCGAGGTGGCCAACCTCAGCGCGCACAGCGCCAGCCCCATCCAGGATGCGGTCCTGAAGCGCCTCTCGCTGCTGGAGGACATCGTCTACAGGCAACTGAATGGTAAGGACGTGCGCCCGTGTCCACAGGGCTCGCTAAATCCCGGGGGCCTTGCGCGCGGTGCTGGGGAGCCGACGCCTCCTGGCTCCCGCGCGCTCCCTTTTACCCTCTCTACCCTCTCTGGGCCAGGAGGCCGGGGCTGCTGGAAAGAATTACCTGTAAGTTTGCTTTTATTGTGGAAACATGTCTGTAAAGCTGGTTCCCGGTCCTTGTGTGCAGGCACGTGCAGGAATCCTTACCTGGAGACTAAATCCCAAGTGCAGAAACCAGTCGCGTGGCCAAATGGAACTAGAGGCACAGACTGACTTGGAGGAAATAGCTCTTACAGCTTAGCGTTTGGTGGACTCAGACAGGGAGGGACTTTGGTGGGCTTAAATGTTTGCAGAGCCAAGGCCTCAGGTCTGGAGCTAATGCACTTTGGTAGTAAGTTGGATGAGGCGGGCTGCACAGCTAATAATGAGGACTTCTCCATTTCGCAACCTAGGTGGAGGCTGCTATTAAAAACACACCTGGCTTCTGCCAGAGAGCTGCCTGAGGGTGATGTTAAAGTTCTTGGTGGATTGGGGAAGCAGGTTTTCACAGTGTTGTAGAGTGAGGTGTGCCATCCAATTACAGCAGGTCCTCCAATAACATGGATTTGTTCAACCTCATTTCCTTAAAATGTTGATGAGATTCTGTGGAAACTTAGCTTTTGCTTATATCAATTAGCCTGTGGTAAAATTGGTTTCGTTATACCAGTGTTCTTTAAGTCACAGAGCCTATCCACAGCGTGAAGTGAGGACTTCCCTGTAGTGACAGTTGTCAGAATCTGTTCCATCTAAAATGTTCTCTTCAGTGCTTTAGGAGAAGAGGGAGACTTAATGTGCTCTGGTCACATTTGGTCCAGGGACAGATCATTGTACACTTGCTGTCCCCAAGGTCAGATTGAGATTTCCCTACTCAAGTACAGGCAGCTCTCCAGGGTCCATATAGCTGCTATCTAAGGCAGATTCAGGGCTGCCACCTCCCTTCCTGAGTTTCTAACACATGTTCTCATGGTAGTTCCAGAATTAGAGATAATCATGAAGGTAATGATAATTGGTGAAATTCTTGTTGTGTGCCAGACACTGTGCAGACATTTCATAAGTGCATTGAATTCCATCCCCATATCAGACATGAGGAAAAGAGACGTGGAGAGGTAACTAAGTTGCCTGGTGTCCTGCAGCTAGGAAGTGGTAGAGTCTGGAATCAGAACCCATTGTCTGGTTGACTACAGAGCCTACGTTCTTGATAACTTCTATATACTATCTCCTCCTAATTATAAGGAGTATTAAGTTTGATGGCAAGAAGAATCTACATTAGGAAGACTCAACTCAACTGTCTTCTCTGCAGTTAGAGTGAGAGACCAGGCTGGTGGCAGGGAGAAGGGTGACACTCTCATGATCCCTTCTGGGTCCTTCCGGGTGGGATGTGGTCAGATCTCGGAGCACCCCTAAAAGGACCCCTTGGTCTTCTCCATGTCATTCAGCAAGTATACAGAGGATGCCTTGAACTTGTCCCTGTAGTTCAAGGGACAAGTTCAAGGCATCCCCTGCAGCCTTCCCAACCCCTCACAGACAATGTGGCCTGGCTGTCCATGTAGTCTGCCGTGGGGGTCATGAGGGAGCTCTTCTCCTGAATGTCAACAAATCAAGGCACAGAATGAAACAAAACCCACAGCTCATTTTTGCAGGAATTAGAAGCTTCTGGGGCGGGCCTTATTATTCTACACAGATACCTGCCTTAGATGTACCATAGGACCCCAAAAAAGAGAAGAGTGCAAGATAGCCTGAGCTCCCTCACTGTCAGGCTACACTCAGGGAACAAGTCGTTTTAGTATTGGTTTCAATTAGGAAACTAAATATGATATAGTCATGCACCCCTAAATATCCCAAATAGGATAATAAAATTGCAAATGGTATTTACTAATTGTTACAGACACCCAGGGATTCATTTAGTCTTTATAGCGACCCTCGGAGATAGGCACTGTCACTGCCCCCCACATCCCCCAAGTAGCTTGCTCACAGTCACCCAGCCAGGGGGTTGTAGACCTGGGAATTGAACTTGGACAGTTTGGTTCCAGAATTGAGGTTCTTAGCTGCTGCACCAGCAAGTCTCAATCTTTGCTGTGCCTCAAAGTCACATAGAAGGCCTGTTAAGACAGATTTCTGGACCCCACAGCCAGAGTCTCTGATTCAGTAAATCTGGGGTGAGGGTCCAAGACTTTGCACGTCTTATCAGCTTGTGGCCCGGCCCATAGTCCACTGCCCTCTACCTTACTGCCTACACCAAGCAAAGTGAAGAGGAAAACCCATTTGCCTGCCAATACCAGCTAGTGGGTGTGGGGACTCCTAAGAAACCAAGAGCTTGCTTCAGAAGGGCTGGGGGTCTGGCTCCTGCCAGGCAAGAGATTCCCCAGGGGAGTGGGGTTGTCCTGCGCTTGGGACTGGTTGGGTCAGGTGGTGCTGTGGGATGGGAAGGCTGAGTTTTCTTGACTTGCAGCCTCTGAGGAGCTGAAGGAAGGCTGAATTGAGAGCTTTTCCTGGGCAAGCCAGGAATTCAAGCTGCAACAAGGTAGATGGTATCTTCCTGGCTGCAGAGTGGAATTTGTAGTGACATGAAGCACGGAGGAAGAGAGCCAGGAAATGTTGTGAAATGGAGAGGATCCACCTCTCTCCACTCCAGCCCCCAGCACTCTCTTCCTTGCCTGTGCTTGTTTAGGGTACTGGTGTCGCGCCTGTTGATGAGCTAGGCCTGCAGGGGGCCACCTGCTGCAGTGGGAGGGTGGCTAAGGGAGGTGAGGTCTCCCAGTGCCTGGGCCATGGGACCTGGCTTGCTGTGTCCTTTTGCTCTGCAGCCTGTTCCATGCCTCCTACTGAAGTAGGAGAGGGAAACCTTGACCTCAGGGTTCTTTATGCCTCAGGATTATGGAGCACCTGTGAGAGCCAGGCACTAGGCATACAGTAGGAACAAGGCTACTTGGGTCCAGCCCCCTCGTAGCTACACAGTGGATGCTGACATTTCAAAGGTTGCTCATATTTCCCAGACCTTTCCTGCGGACTCTTAGGAAGTTCCAGCAGCAGGGATTCTTGGAGGGCTCCACTTCCCTGGCTGTGCACACAGCCATCTGGGCGCTCTTTCATTCATGAGACAGGTTTCTGCGGGTGTCCTGAGAGGGGCCCCCTGGGCCTGGGGCGCCTGGGTGACCCAGACCTCCTCAGAACTGGCCTCTGTGCTAAGACTCTTGGTATCAAGGCCCTGAATCCTTTTTGAAAAAGTTACAGGTTGTAGTTGTTACTGTTTTTGTTTTTCTTAATCCAGGCTGAAAAGGTCATGTTTTAAAGTGACAGTCCAGATGCTGGCATGGAGGAGAGAGCACACGGGGATTAATGAGCACTTTCCCTCCAGATTCTCTCTTGTATCTGCTCTTCCATTCTTTCTGTGAAGCTCCACTGCTGACCTCGACCCTTTAACCCAGTGCCCTGCCTCTGGTCTCTCACCCCTCTCTTCCACTCTGCATGTATGGTTCCAGATATCTGAGTGGAAAGCACAAACCTCCCAAGGGTCTCAGACTTTCCAGGGGCACTGTTTCCTGAGGAATCGTGGTCAGGCTTGGGGGCTGACAGTGGGCTTCCACAGTCACATCTCCCACCTTCCCAACCTTGTCCAGTGTCCTCTACCTCCTTGAGCGAGACTGATCGACTTGCTGAAATACCTCTCATTTGCCTTCAGACTGTAGCCTCCACTTTTTGGCCCCAGTCTTTGAGACTGGTTTGCTCTCCTTGCCTTTTCTACATTCTTCTGTTAAAGGTTGGCTCAAGGTCATGGGCTGGGGGTGGGGAAGTTGTGCCAATCCACATGGTCTGAGCTGTTCCTTCTCCGAGTTGCCTGAGGCTTTGTTGTCAGTGACCTTTCATATAATCTTGGACTTTTTAATACCACCTCTATTCTGCCACTGTCAGGCCTGGCCCACATAAACCCCAGTGGGGTCCTCCATGCTTTCTCCCTTTACCTTTTTGTGGTGGCCTTGGAGTCCACTTCTTGGTGGCATACAAAATGGTCCTTAGTCCCTGAATGACTGCATGGAACAGAGCACTGCCCTCCCTAGCTCTGTCTTGATATCTCCGTGCCTTGGACCATCATGCTAAGCCATTGAGATTTTAGAGCTTATCTGTTACAGCAGCTAATGTTAATGATCCTGATTAATTTAGTCAGTCAGAGTTAGAACACTTGTCTCCCTAAGTGACAGGCCAGTCTAGCTACTGTAAGTTTCTGTCCTCAATTAATATGATCAGCATCTGCCACAGAACTTTGCGCATAATGTGGGCACCTAGGTTTATTGGTTGATTGGTTGGATGGTAATTGATAGCCACAGAGGAAATAACCTCAACACTGTAAAGGCTGAGTTGGGTTGGGTGAATGTGGTGAGGGAAAGGGGTGGGAGAGTCTTAGCTGGAGAGACTGAGTGTGAGGAAGCCATCCTGCCTGCCCTATCTTGAGGCTGCCTGTACCATCTTGAGACTGCTCTGGTCCTTTACCCTCTTGACTGAAGAGCACCCACCTGATCCTCCTGAGGAGCTTGGAAGTGAAGCAATCAATCACTTTAGGGAGCAGCACGTTTCGGTATGTTTTCTTGAATATGTAATTTTATAACATGAATATGGTTTTATGTTCCTTTTTTGTAGAACAAAATGAATTCATATTTATTGTAGAAAATTTGGAAAATCTGAATAAATTCATACAGAAGAAAATAATAATGTGTTAAACTGTTTTTTTAAATGGCGACATGGTGGTTTTGTACTGGCATTAGGAAAATGGACCTTGGGACATGCAGGCTTCTTGTTAGAATTCCCATGTCACTCCGTACACGACTTTGGCCTTCTGTCGTCTTCTGAGGAAGTTGTTTCTCTCATTTTAGAGCTGAGAAAGGTGAGATGTGGACACGACGTGACTTAGCCTGTATGGCACAGACAGAGAAGGGCGGA